TAGAGACCAGCAACTTAGTAAGACCCTATCTCAAAACAACAACAACAAAATAAATAAAAAAGGCTAGGAATGTTGCTCAGTGGTTAAAATGCACATAAAAATGCAGATAATAACCCTGGGTTCAATCCCAGGTATCTCTCCTCACACTGAAGAGACCTGGAAATCTCTGGGTGACTTATAATACCTAATACAAAATAAAATATTAGGTAAATAGTTGTTATACTGCATTGTTTAGGGAATAATAACAAGAAAAAGTCTATACATATTTAGTACATACACATTTGTTCCTGAACACTTTTTGATCCATGGTTGATTGAATCTGCAGATGCCTAGCCCATGGATATGAAGGGACAACTGTAGTCTATTTTAGGATTTAGTAGTGAGTGAATAGATTGGGAAGGAAGCCTACTGAAAAGATGGTTGTCATTTACCCCTGAGAGTCTGTGACTTTGACATGGCTTACTAGAATTGAAATTAGAACATGCATGTCAATTAAAAGTAAGTTGCCAATTCCCTTCATTTAAGCTGAATTATACTTCATCATTTTAAAAATGCAGATATGAAATGTTTTGATAAAAACTTGGTACAATTCTGGATAGTATTCTTGTATTATAAGACTATTGGATGTTAGACTTAAGTTTCTGAAAAATATACCCTTGCTTTCCCTGTGAGAGAATTAAATGGGATTTTTAGAAATGATTCTGTGAAGAAAGACTTCAGATATTGGCAAAGGATGTTTTAAAACACTGTGGTTGTGACTAAAAAGATAAAGGCTGTGTCTATATGACACCTAACATCTGGATAAAAAAAGGAAAAATAGTACTAAAAAMCCCCCATGTTTTGTTTACTTGACACTTACACATCTGGAAATTTAAAAACATCTGGGATTTTTAACTCATCCCCCCCTCTTGGGTTTCATCTGGGTGTACAGAAAGGTGAAAAAAGAAACTCAGTACCATTAATATGAAATTAGATAAAATTATTGCATTCAACTAATCTGAAAACACTAATCATTTTATTTAACATAATATATAATGAATAAAATTCCACATCATGCAAGTAGATAAAAAAAGATGCAATTAGGTGATTTAAGAAAAAAAACTTGGCTTAAAGCATATGTAAATCTTGATTATAGTTTAGACATTTATTTGAGCAAAAATCTTTTTAGGTCCTGAGACAACCGTTTTCTCTCTTAGGGAATAGTTTCCCCATGTTTTTTGAGGCTCTGTGTTTTGACAATAGTAAAATTTAGTAAACACTTAGTAACATGTGAGTTACATCTAGTAATAGACGTTTCCTTTGCCAAATGAATTATCCAAGCTGATAAAATCAGTGTAAACCCACTCTCAGCAGCCTTCTGACATGCCCAGGAATGAACCCCAAAGAGAAATCACGTGAAACTGAACTTCAAAGACTTTGTAGCAGTGAAAAGCACCTTATGTGATTGACATTGTGTGTGTGTGTGTRTGTGTGTGTGTGAGATCTCATCTAAAAAGTTATCATAATTATTGAACATTTCCTCTGTAGCCTATTCTCAATCCAATCAGTTATAATGAAAATAGTCTGCTTGCTTTTTATAGTCTCAAGTTTTCAAAATGATTAGTGCTTCCTTGAGATATCCCATTAATTGGACACACAACCCAGATGAAAAGGCTGAAGCCCAAGAGTATATGAAAAAACATAAGGTTGTTGCAATTTAAGTGCCTTCAAAAGATCTAATTTGATTTTTAAAAGCAATTCTGCAGATGTGAAAATTAAAGGCACGCAGAAACAAGATATGGTTTAATGACTGTGTAGGTTAAGAAACATTTAAAGGTTTTAGTAGCCTTACACCAAAAAAGAATTTTTTTTTATTTAGCTGTTAGCTTGAAATGATTTGGTCCACAACACAATAGAAATTGCTGGATTTTATGGGCCACTATTTCCTTTATTGMATGCCCCATTTTTCTCCAATGTGTTTCTGAAGCAAGTTGATATTTCTGTCTGCAGATTTTCAATCCCAGTCTCCRTCAATCTGATTTCAAATTCTAATAAAGTAAGTCTCTCCACTTGGTTTGTCTTACTGTTTCATCTATGAGCCCATYCCCCATCTCCCCCCACCCCCACAAATTGTGCATTTATTCCCACTTAAAAAAAAAGAAAGAAAATTTTTAAAAAGCCCTTTGCATTGGCTCTAATGACATCTTCAGTCATTAATGAGTTAATAAAAATCTCAAAATCATCTGGGCTAGATAAGGAGGAAGAAAGAAAAGTATTGTGCTGTAATGACAGGCTCTCAGGCTGCCCTCTGAGATGTCATGGGTCAGTCATGTTAAGAATGTGTGCGTCCAATCATCTGCTGATTTTTATCAGCAAGCCCTCCAGCAGGAGCCCACAAGAGCCAGTTTGGGAGTCACAATGAATAAACAATGGCTTTTTGGATTGTTGGGGGCTGTGTAATAGAGTGAGRGGTTTATATATACTAAAACATGATGACATTAGCAATCAATATACCAATTACTGGACAAGTTATTGCATGAGGCATTCACGTGTCTTCAGACATGTAGTGGGGAGAGTCCTTGTGCACAGAGGCAGACACRGGTCTAGGACCTGAGGCCCTGATCTAAAAGCTAAGCCCAGATTCTCTGTCTGAAGGACCTCAGACCTGAATGATCTGAATCACTTAAGGAATTTATTAAAAACACAGATTCCTGACTCTCCTTCCTAGCCATTTCATCTCAGGAGTCTGGGAATAGGGCTGCTAGGGCTTGGTGATTTTCACAAAGGCTYCAGGTAATGCCGATCAGGCAGGTGAGAGAACTGCTATACAGTTATGATTGCCAGCCCAGCAGCCTCAGTATCARCTAGGAGCTTGTGAGAAATGCAAATGCTCAGGCCCTTCCCCAAAATCTGCTTGAAGCAGTCTGCAGGTGGTTCTGATGCACTTTGCAGTTTGACACTCGGGTTTTAAAATTAAGATTCTCACTTTTGGGCCCTTCCTGGACAATTTGTCTCTCCAACTAGTTGGCAGGGTAATGTTTGCAAATGATTTACTTATAAAATTAAATTASGGTTGATCTAAGATTATCTTTATAATCATGTCATGTTCATTCATTTGTACATTGCTGGATTTTCTTGAATGATCTTGATTACAAAAAGGGAAGGATAAACATAGACCTAGTCTATTCTTTAAAACAGAAAAGGAGGGTGGATTTGTAAACATTTTTTAAAGAAMAGAAAAGAAAAGAAAACAGGAATCCATAAGGAAAATGAAGCTTTGGTTTGATGTATAACTAATATTTGTCTGGGCATTATATGCCATTTGGGAAGCCCACGGGCCCTTTGTATAGATGAATRAGATCTATTGTTTTTATTTTTAATATTTACCTGCTTTCATCAGGAGAGAAGAGTGATATGGCTGGCCCAAGGTTGACATATGATGAGAAGGTACATGGCAACCATCTTCTTGTAGCAGGGGTAGAAACTTCTTTTTATTTTGGTTAAGAGTCTTCCTGAAGGGGAGTTTGATAATCTTTCACAAGAGATGGACTAGTTTGCTAGATAAGCCCTAGCTTAAATCAATATTCCACAGAATATGTTTCAAAGAATATGATTCTAAGCATTAATACAAAAAAATAAATAAATGAATGTCTGGTGTCAAGTGAGAAACAGTAGGCTAAAGTGAATAAGATAGGATTGTGTCCAGTGGGGCTACCCATGCACTGTGCATCTCCAGAAGAGGTCACTTAAAGGATTTGATCATCAAAACCTTTTTATGAAGAGCAATCTTATAGAATTTCTGTCTCAGGATCAACTTTGAGGACTCATGAGTTCAAATATTTAAGATAGCAAATATCTGTATAAAGAAGTGAGTTCTTTGTGTTTTATAGCAAAGAAACTTTTTATTATAATTCATTAAATCCTCTGTATCTGGCATCAGGATTACTTATGTGRTGGCTTTAAGCCAATAAGAAGGTTCATGTGACCATCACCAAAGAGTTAAATAAGTTGTCTTGTTGTTGATGGTCTGGCTAAATTATCCCTGAGTTGTTGGCATATCTCCCAGAATAGGTACTCATTATATAAAAGAAAAGAAAAAGGAAGAAAAAAAAAACCCTTGGGTTTTACTAATGAGATTACACTGTGTTTTTATATATGAAGGATAATTTCATCCTGATTCCTTATAAGTACCCAGAAACTACATGCAAAACGAGATGTGTCTCTGACTGAGCCTGATGTTGAAAAGTATTTTTACCCCCTTTCATGGACAATATTGTCCTTGTCCTTTCCACCTCACTAGGTTSCATGTGGCCATGACTGTGGCAGTCCTCTTTGTCCCGAAGCTGGCTATTTCTGAAGGTGATGGAGTTTGAGGGTGTATTCTAGGGAGATCAGGCCAGTGGGGATTTTAAGCACATCACTGGTTGTAAAAATTTTTTTCTCTTGAAGTTACTGCCAGAACTGTGCATTAATGCCAAATGTTAATTCTTGCTGAGGACGTGGTGTCTTATAAATGTTATGAAAGAATATCATTTTCCCTGAAGAAGTGAAGGTACTTTTAAGGCCATGTTAAGAAAGGGGCAGGTTTCCCAAGTTACATCTGCAGGTCACCTGCTTGCCTATAAATTGCTTCTAGGGCTCAGTGCACCCCTCCCCCCATCGTTACACAATAGTTAGGAGGAATTCTCGCATGGGAGACAGAATGGAATGCCACTGACATTTGAAAGATGTGTAAACATTAAAAACAAAACAAAACAAAACCTAAAATGAGAAAATCCCACCCATCCCTGCTAATATTTGTCATCTTTCTACACAGTCCTAGGAGCCTATACAAGACGCAGAACTCATTAGGATGTGTCCTGAACTAAAAATAATAGAGCAGACTCGACTTTGGGAGGTCTTAATGGTTTTTTTTTTCCATCTCCTTTGTAAATATATCCCTGTTGACACCACATGTGCTTCCCAGCTTTCCAGGCACAARGCGCTTGCATGAAGGGATTCGCTTTGCACCCTGGCAGAAAGGAGCAGAAGTTCAGCAAGTGAACCGAGATCTACCCAACTGCTTGTCTGGTTTGTTATGTAGTTGAATATTTCTCCCCTTTATATTCTTTGAAATGTTTTGAATTAAAATAGCTTACTCAAGGTCACTGAAGGCATATGGTCCTGCTCAAAACTTTAAACAAAACATTAGTTTTTACAACCTTTTGTAATTTGGTATTGTATACAACATGGTTATATGCAGAGTTTCTGTAATCTTTTCAGTGGGTGACAGAAATATAAGAAGCAAATTTATAAGCCATTTAGTGAAGCATTTAATCAATTTCATGCATAGGAAATAACTCCGATTGCTTGGCTTTATCAATCTTTCTCTCCAGCGGAACTGGAGTCAATGCGATCACCAAACACAGCCTGGGTGGGGGAGGGGGAGGGGGGCAGGGAATGGGCAGGCGCCTTCTCCTACGTGCACATGGAAATGTCAGGGACTTCTGAAGTCTGCCTGACACTGTTACCAATGTCTATGAGCCTTCTGGAGGCTGTTAATGTATTTCAGAAAGAGAACATGGYCTAATGTTTAGAGGAAGTTTTCAAGGCCTTTTATTGTAAAGTTATTCATTAAACACCCGTTTCCCAGAGTGACTCTCACGTGCTCAGCCATGCAGATTGTGTTCAACTTTAGGCTCCAAGAAGTATTTTTTTAAAAATCCATTTCAGTGGTTATTACTTGGAAACACACGAAAAAAAAAAAATAACATGACTTCCATTAAAATGCAACTCATGATTTAAGGAGTTGAAGCTATGACTGAAATAACTGAATTACTCCAAAGTGCCATGATACAAGTAGAGCCTTTTTCAGAATATTTGATCTTTTAGGGATCATGTTTTGATTCTTTTTTGAATGGCTTGAAGGATTAATCCAGCCTGTGACAACAGAGTGGGTTAATATTTTCTTTGCTGTTGTGTGCTAAAATTCCTCCTATGACACTTTACCCCAAACACCATCAAGTTCTTAAGTGAAAAAGTCCTGAGGGAGCAAAAGCCGATCTTGCTGATAATCATTATCTGCTAGACTATATTAAAATTGCATTAGCTCTACCTTGTCCTCTAAAATTGGAACTGTTATAAAGGTACTGTAGACATAGCTTCTAATTTAGAAAATAATTTGCTTCCACTGATTTCTGAGCCCAGAAAAAATATTTCAGTTGAATAAATTTCTATCCAGATTAGTTAGTTCTGATTTAAATCAGTTCCATTCATGGATCTCATCTCAGCCTGCTGATGTTTCACACTCTCTTTTAGAAATGACACATGCAAGGATTTTCCTGTGTTGGCAATTCAGGGCATGCCATTTGATATTTATTTTGCCACACTACTTAAGTTGTGGAGCCCCATGACTATACTGAACAGAGTTGCCTTGGTAATCCGGCATAGAATTGGCAGCTTTCAAGGAGATTGGCAGAAGGAAGTAGGGTGTTTGGTCTGTCTGTTATCTACCTACGTAGCCGTTACTCAACCATTAACTTCTCCATTCGACCAGCAATCATTTTGGAGGACAGGCCTTTTTTTTTTTTTTTTTTTAATAAGATCTAGTAAGTCAGAAAATCCACTTTTTAATACTAAGGAATTAAAAATTCTCAAATAAAATTTGAAACACACAATTGTCATATATATATTCTTGTAATATAATAGAATTAGAGGATAAAGGTGGAGTCCTCCTTGCCTCCACCTCCAGTTCCAGTTGTTTTCTCCACCTCCCTGATGTCAAAAGTGCGCGCTCACCAGTCAGTTTCCCATCCAAAGGAATCTCTAAAACAAATATCATAATGCACGTATCATAATGCACGTATCATAGTGCACTTGCTATTTTCATTCAACAGTGTCTTGGAAATTTTACCTACTTGGAAGAAACAGGTATAATTCATTCTCTCTAAGTGCATTAAGAATCTCCTATGGAATGGCTAGATCAGTACTCCCTGAGTTATTACAATATAATGTACATCTAGGGTTTTTGCATCTTGTAGCTATTCGTAAATAGCATTGTAGTGAATACTTTTTTACATATTTTCATTAGTGATTCTCATAACAGAAATAGTATCATAAGTAGTTCTCTAGCATAAGTACTTAAAGTGGAATTGTAGATCATAAATATATACATATTTTATGTCTTMTTAATTACTTCCAAATTACCTCGAAGTTTTAGTTTCAAATGGGAATCACACCATCATTTCTGACGCAAGTTTTTAACTCTTCTTAAATCTACATTTCAGTCTATCTACTCTCATTCTCTGTTAATAACTGCCTCTGATTCTCCAAGAAGATGAAGGCCATCCTTGGGTATCCCTTCCTCTAGGGTAAGGTGGGTCAGGCAACCTAACCACTGGGGGCCTAGCCAGATGTTTAGAAATTGGGCTGCTCAGAGCCATCAAGGTAGCCTCATTCAGAGGTTGGGGAGCATAAGGTCAAAAAAATAGAACAAAACAGAACTTATCCATCCTTTGAGCATGCATCAATAAATTAATGACACACATCCACTTTAATCATAATATGACTGTCCATACTCAAATAATATTTTCTGCCAGATTTATGTATTTTTATTATATTMTTTTCTTGGGCTAGCTATAATTGATATGATTGGGCCAAGTATAATTAAATAAAGTTTAAGCAGATTCTGAGTACAAGATGTGATTTTGATTCTACCCTCTAAAGCAATGGGAGAATGTAGTCAAACTGAAGGTATGTTAAAACATTGTGCTACAGTTAGAGCCTTGTTCACTTCTGCTCTAATCATGTGATGACCATGGAAGCTGAGCAAGTAACTTAGGACCTTCGAGTGGTAGAGGCACCACATACAGATTAATAACATATTTAAACTATGTTCTGTGTAGTAATTCAAAGATAAAAACATTTTTTGAGTGTATTAGTAGGATATGTACCTTCAGTTTTTTTTTTTTTTTTTTTTTAATTAGTAGTGGGCCTGGAACCCAAAGGTCTCTCCCACTGGGCTACACTCCTGGCCCCCTTTATTTTCTTTTTTTTGGGACAGAGTCTCACTAAGTTGACCAGGCTGACCTCAAATTTGTGGTCCTTCTACCTTGGCCTCCTGAGTTGCTAGATTACAGGCAGTCTCCACCATACCCGGCTTGTCTTCCAGCTAATTTTTAAGATAAAAAGGATTGGTTTTATACCATTTTCTTTCCTATCTGTTCCCCTGGTGACTAATGGTACACACTTACAAATAGCTTAATGGAAGTTAGCAATGTTAACAGCTAGGACCTTTGTTTAAGGGTAACTCTCAAATATGGAGGATTGAGTCTCTAGAATCTCTAAAATTAGATTTTAAAGTTTATCTCTAATAATGAAAAATTGGAAGCCAACTACATATCCAAGAGTTGTAGGTTGATTACAACCATAACCTATAAATATTGAAATATTATATGGTGATTAAAAATAATTGTCTACACCATTCCATCCAGCAGCCACAGCCATAGTTCTTAGAAATGAAAGCACACAGCATTGTTCTTGATGATTGAAAAATTAAAAATACAATTTTCCAACTAAAGAGACTTCCCATGAGTAGGATACATAATAGGAAAAAAAGGGGGCATATTCACAACATGGAACACTCTGAAGTTATTTCAAAGAATGAATTGTTCCCATGAATCACATGGAAAGATTTCTGAATCTCATTGTCAAAGAAGAAAAGACAGAAAAGTAAGACACAGAAGATCAGCCTGTGCTTATTGGATCCCATTATTATATAAAAATGATACTTAAACATCCAATAAGCACATATTTGTTTTCTATTATATCAGATTAGATTTGAAAAGTATTAAAGGAAAATACTAGGATGGTAATTTGGCTTAGCAGAAGACTATGGTGGGATGCATGGAGAATGATGAAAGTGAGGAAATAAAGATGTGAGAGAAAAGGGAACCCCCCACAAAATGCTATGAAGCCTGCAACAATATTGAAGAATGTTTTTGATGTAATCTTAAGGAATGCTAAAGGGCAAATTTATATGAAAAAGCAAATTCTATGTATAGTGAGCGTGAACTCGACGGGGTGGCTGGTTTGGAAGTAATTTTATATTTCTTTAACTTTTATTTTAATATGATAAGAATGAGCAGATATTAAAATCCAAAGCATTGCTCTTGCTATATTGCTCCTGGATGCACAATGAGATTTAGAAGAATTCCTTCTTTCCTAGTCCCAGAAAGGTGGCTGGAGGGATTCTCTTGAATTGGTAAAGAGCTCACACTATTCTTGCAAGCATTGACCCCAAGATGGGCAAACTTATAACAACCCCAATTGCCCATGAAGTGACTGGTTTAAATAAACTTGAAAGAGGACCTGAGGTCATCACAGCTTCTCCCACTACTGGAAACCTATCCAGGTGTCCTGACCTTGAGAGACTAATGATCTTGTGAGGGGGCCCAGAAAATTAGCAGACGGAACTGCCAAAGTTCTTCACCCACCTTAGGGTGAATTTAGGGATACAAATGTGGTGTTTTACTTACAAAGATATTTTAAAGGTGAAACACTTGAAATACCTGATGGCCCATAAATTAGATGTTGAGCCTCAAAAGAATTGAGGAGGCATTTATAAATTAATAGTTTGTTATTCTTTATCAGAGGATGTGGAAATCTAGAACATTGGATGAGGAATGAAGTTGGAGATAGAAACAGGGCTCTGACATTCCTCATTGGTTCACCAAGAGTGGCTCTTGACACTCTAACTTATTTCTTTCTAAGATGAATATATGGTAGGAGAAGGACGTGGTAAACCAATCCTTTTTTTTTCTATCTGTAAGATGTAAAGGAAATCATATGGGGATTGATCTTATTGAAATGCAGTTTCTAATTTAGTGTCTGAATTRAGTCTAAGACTGCATTCCTGAAAGGCTCCTAGGTGATGCAGAGGCTGCTGGCCCATGGACTCTACTTTCAGCAGCAAGGTTTTACACCTGGGCACAAATACACTTGTTAAAAACCAGATTCTGGTGCTCTATACTCAAAGTTTCTGTCTGAATGAATGCAAGACCCCCCCCTTTTAAAGCTTCCAAGGTAATTTT